CGCCAGTCTTCAATGCCTTAAAAGGCATAACCTAGGTGCCCGCACTTGCCAGAAACGTCTTTTAGAATGCCCTTTACACACTCCCTTAGTTTACACTTTAGATTTTTCAAAATTAGTGTTTTGATCTTCAGACCTTTAAGCTCCATCAAACCATTTTTTATCTAACGGCCCACCCACGACCTCGGCCTTTTCAATTCTTCTCATCTTTATAAAAGTTGCGCGAAAATATCCACTTCAATTTTTTTTTACCTTCTTCGCATTATAAAACTCACCCTAGCAAGAAATACTCCGACAATCTAAAAACATTTCCGTTGATCTCACCAATTCCCATATCATCTCTCTTGCAGCCACCATGTTGATCTTCATAGTTACGTACCTATGAACCTTTTACCATTATTCCTCTCATTATTCCTTCTAATTTTATTCGTCTCTAAATATTCCAACGACTGCCCATCTTTTCCTTAAACTATTCCATAAAATTCAACAACCATGTCAACATCTAACAGTACCTCTTCTTTAACCTCACAACCCATACTTCCTTGACCTTAGCTCTTTCTCTCTCTTACCGCTTCACCGACCAAGTCACCGTGGTCGCAGGCGAAAAGGTCAAAGCCTCTTCTCCTTTGGTGACAGAGGTCAGACCCAACACCTCATATTCGATCGATAGTATTTCCAACATTCTTCATGAGATCAAGCACCCCCGAGGCTGGGATTTTATCATCCCTAAGGTCGTGGAATTGTTTTACCAGTCCCCCTCGGGCTAGTACTCTTTTTTTCTTGACCAAGTCGAGGTCGGACTAAAGCTACATCTTAGGGTGATTTGGTAGAACTCAGTTGATTATACCTCTTTCCTTTGAACCATTTCTCTCCAAACTCAATTCATACCCTTTTCGGGTTTATCATGCTAAGTCGAGCTCCACTTGGCAGAGTCATCCTGACTTTAGTTTTAGTTCTTCTGGATGAAGCCCTAGAAAGGTTCTTGTTGCAATGGTGTCAGTTTCTTAAAGCTTCATCCCCGCCCATTGGAAAACAAAATACTATTTTATTCGACCTCCTCTTGCACCTTCGACTTCTCCCATGGGTGGCTTCATGAGCTTCTCGACCAGGTCAAAATTCCCCAGTCATGTGCTGAATACGATGCTCTGATCGCCAAGTGGAACGGGCGACATTTCTACATTGTAAAACTTACATACGATGTGCAAGTCGTTTCTCACTGCAGGCTTTGTAGCTGCTCAGCAAAGTCGATTATTGACATAGGAAGCAGTTTCATTTCATTATTATGAATGTAATGTCGACTTCCATCTTATTGTAATTCATTCTCTTGATTTTCGCATAATCTCTGTTCAGTAAGATGACCGTCGACCCACCTTGGGTCAAAAGAGGTGAAGTCCACCGCACACCAACCACCTGTCTCCAAGGTCATCAAGCTCAACCCTATTGACCCGGGGGCCACCGCAAAACCCTCCTCCAAAACCCAACCAGGACGAAACGCCAGCGCATCGATTGCAAGGGAGGAAAGACCTCCAAAAAATTTTAGAGGAAAGAGGCGATCAATGGAAAGTAGCCTTGCTGCAGCCCTCCTCCCCTTAAGCACCCTAAGTCCTTTGTGCTGACCAAGGATGTGAGTGCCAGGCTTCCTACTTTTTGTCCATCTTTTCAGAGGGCGAGAATAATTTCTGAAAGATGAAGGAGAGTCAAGCTGCCTCGACAATGTTCCACTTTGTCCAGGTATAAAATGATCATTTGTTACTCTCATTCGTGTTAACCCGAGTTTAGAAAACGTATCTAACCACCTTGCAATTATTGTCAGGTCTGGCTCTCATCTGCCATGAAGCCCTAGAAGGCGACTCTGGTGAGGTTGCGCGGCTGAAGGGGATACTAAAAGCAACAAGGCCAAACCCACCAGGAAGCATACGACCTCTTGAAATTTGAGAGCGATAAACTGACCACCGAGCTCACTTCGAAAGAAACCAGCTGATAAGGAAAGAGGTTGAGCTGAAAGCTCAACTCGCTTGTTGTGAAGGATGCCGAGCTGGCATACTTAAGAGTTAAGACTTCAGTGGATGAACGAGTCGAGGGCTTGCTTCATCGAGTACTACCAGGTCGAGCTGATGGAGCGCTTCAAGCACTCCACTCAGTTCCTGACCTGGATCTTCCCGGAGTGCAAGCAGTAATTTTCTCTTGCCATTGGTCGTGCCCTGGCTTCGGCCACAACCTAGGGGTTCATCGGGATGGCGCTGAGATTCCGAGGGTAGGAATGAAGATAACTCACTTTCTGCAGACCACCCATCGAGCATGTGTACATGCACAAATATAATTAAACTATTATAAGTTGCATATATGGATATTATATTTATAAGTATAAAATAAATAATATGCATATCATATTTTATAAATTTAATCCTTAGTAAATATTAATAATATAATTATAAATTATTTTATTGATGAAAAATGCTACAAGTACATAATAAATGTACATATAGGTGTACATAACACTCACATGGAGTGAGATCCACTTAATTTTTTTTTTTATTATTTTTGGTGGGTCCCACTGAATTTGAGTGTTATGTGCACTATGTACAATATTTATAGATATATGAATCACAAAAGATATAATAAATAATGTATTTTTTAAGATCCAAGTATCCAACCCAATTAGTTAGTTCTACCAATTCTTAAAAAAAAAAAAAAAATAGCTAGTTGAAAAATATTAAATTATTATTTTCGCAGTTATTTGTATCACACTAGTACGAATCCCGTGCGATGCACGGGTAACATATATATTCATTAATATTTATAGATAAAAAATGTTCATTACATAATATTTATAAATTAAAAAATATGGAATCAGTACTAATACAATTTACCTATTTTAGTTTATTGAAAATGTTATATGAAAATTAAATTGTGAAAAATTATATAAAAATGTCTATTTGAAATTAGTACACAACCGTGTGGTGCACACAACTGATAATAAATTACATTATATTTATTTCAAAATAAGTATCATTTTAAATTTTATTTAGAAATTCGATTTGCCTATAATGTTATTCCATAAAATAATTATTTTGATAAAGTTTTATCATATATTTGAAAATGTATGTGGATAATAAGTATAATTATAAAACTTATATTGTTTCATTAATTCAAATGAATTTATTTTTGTATAAACTATTCAAATA